TCATAGGCTATCCAGGCAAAATTTTCTTACCTTCTTCCTTTTTTAAGCTAAAAGAGACTCCATGTCACTGTATATGCAGGAGTACTATAAGCCACTCAAATTAAACTTCAGTGAGAATTTATTTTAGAATGAGCCTGTTTTACATGGCCATTTCAACCATTTTAATCTAACCCTCCTTATTCAACAGTCTCTTTCCCCCTTCAGGAATATCTACTTTTGCTGCTTCTCCCAAGTGCAATGTTCTTAATATGATTCAGTACTTCTTAAACTTCAGATCTACAACTACATGGTGGTGTGGACTTTGTAAGAATTAAATGAACGGCTAAGGATTTAATGTAGGTAGAATTCTTGCCTAATACGCATGAAGCCTTGGGTTGGCCTCACAGTACCATAAAAACAGTTTACAACTGTAATTCCAGCACTGGGGAGGTAGAAGGTAAACTCAAGGTCACCCTTAGCTATCTAAATAATCTGAGGTCAACCTAGGGTACAAGAGACCCTACCTCAGAAACAGAAGGGAGGGCAATGAGTAAAAGTATATTGAAGAACATAATATCCAGAGTTCGTGGACTATTTTTATGCATACATTTAAAACATTAATCCAGCTCACAGAAAGTACTCAGTAAGCACTAAATATTAACTGAAAATTCATACAAGTTTCAATCTCATTTACTTTTTCCATTTCTTTTAATTTGCCACTTGAAGCATTTTATTCTCTACATAACAAGCTCCCTAAGGGTAAAGTCTTTGTTTCATACATAATTATATGCCCAGCAAGCAGCCCAAACCAGCACACATTTACTAAATAAGTAACTATGAAAAAAAAAAAAATCAACGAAACTCAAGAGACTGAATACACTCCGGAAAAGACTAACTACTAGTAATAATATTAATGGAACAGGTTTGATGTGGTTTGCAGGGAGAACAGGGATACAAAATCAGCTGAATAGATGAACAGGGGAATTTGAGATAGAAAGTTAAACAGGAAATTTACAAACAAGTCTGAAAACATCTAGAAGCTAAAAGTATGTCCTCGGATTTAAATCCCAGTTCTGCTTTCTGCTGTCTCCAGTAGTATATTTGAGCACGTTATTTAAACCCTGGGTCCCAATATTTCAGCTAGAAAAAAGCCAGTTCCACCAACCTTGCCATGAAGTTTTCAGAATGAAATGGGTAAATACAGTAGTTTTAAAAATTGGATGATAGCCCTGGAGTTGGCTCAAAGATAAAGGCTCTGCTATCATGCCTGCTGACCTAAGATCAATCCCTGGACACACATGGTCCTCTGACCTCCAAACATATGCTGTACTAATGCACATTCCCACACAAACACACACACACACACACACACACAATAATAAAATGTAATAAAAATCTGATTTTTTTGGTAAAATAATAGTGAAATACAAGTTCATTTAGAACCTCAGATTACAACTAGAAAAAAACGAGGAAATATTACAAAAAGTGGGCTGCACTTGGTGGTGCCCTATACTATTCTTTTTACTGGAGAAGGTAAGGTAACAGAGTTACCTGGCTACAGAGTTGAGCACCGTACCAACCAGGGATACATAGTAAGACAATGTCTCCAATTGGAACAGAAGTGATGAAGCAGGTAAAAGGAAAACAAGGAATGAGAGAATGGAAGCTAGTGAAGAGTCTCAAACAGACTGTAGCACTATAAGGCTCTGGTTGACCTGGAACTCAAGAGGCATCCACCCACCTTTGCCTTCCCAGGTCCAGAATCAAATGGGTGCCCCAAAACAACCACCCCTATAGGAAGACTTTGGGGAAGAAATAGTTAACAGCAGAAACTGTAGCTTAAGCCCAATACAGTGTATAAAGTCATAGGATTTGCAAATTTTAAGGTCAATCATGAACCAAAAAATAAAAAACTGAACCAACAAAAACCTGTGTTCTACAATGTTCATAAGGGGCAATACTACAAACTGAGGATAACCAGTAAGTGCGACAGAACAAAGAAAATCTGGAGGCTAAGAAGATAGCTAAGAGGTAAAGGAGCTTGCTAAGGAGCCTGACAACCAACTGTGGAAAGTGAAAACGGACTCCCAGGAGTAGTCTTCTGACCTCCATCTGTGTGTTGTGGAAGATCCAAACCAAACACACTAAATACACGCATAAGGCTCAGGATTCAGTCTCCAAGACAGTCAAAAAAATGTGTGTTCATATGTTAAACACAGCTACCTGGGAGACTGAGATAGGGAATCACTTAAAACTCAGGAGTTAAGACCCAGACTGGGCAATATTACAAGATACCGTTTCAAAAAATAATGTGTAGATGATTAGGGCACTCAGAACTATATAAAAATGATAGAAGTTATCTTGTTTTTAAGAAAGTACCAGAAATAATTCTAAATTTATAGCTTAAATATACATACATTTTTAGACATACATTTCAACACATAAAACTTTAAGTGCATACTTCACAAGCAGTCTTAATTAAAGACTAATAATAGCATTCAAGGTCAGTGTGAGCCACCTACCAGGTTCCAGACAGCTTTTGCTAAACAGCCCTATCCCACCCCCCAAAATGACTGATAAATAACAAATTATCTGAAAGAAGCCCAGCAACAGAATCCTTAAAGTCCTTTTCTGTTGCTGTAAAGGGCAGGAACAATGGAAAGGAAAAGGGAATAAGGGGCTGACAACATAGATTTCAATAATGTAAAACTTGTTAGTTTGGACACAAGAAGCTTCCTCCTTAACTCTTTACATCAACCATGCCCGAGTGACAAACTCAACTGCTAACTTGAAAAAAAAAAAATCGATGAAAATGAACAAGTACAAGGATCAAAAACCACATAAGAAACTGGTGGTCTATCAAAGTAAGCAAAAGCCTCAACACATGTTTTAATGAATACTTTAACCTCAGTCTACCCACATGGAACATTAAGTTGGCATCACACTATACTAGAAAGTTATATGGCCACAAAACTTTAAACCCACGCGTATTAAATTAAAGAAATCACAAGCAATTTTCACTTAAGTATTTTGAAAATTATCTCGAAAGCACAAAAGTATTAAGAACAATCTTAAAACTACCAAATCAACTAAAGCTGTTATATAAAATATGTAAGATTTTTAAGTTTAACTTAACCCACTTTGTGGAATAAAAGGTTTACTGGCTTGTTAGTTGCGTGATGCAAACCTTTAATCCCAGCAGGTAAGTGGCAGAAGCAGATGGATCTCTAAGAGGGGTAACCGGCCTGTTCTACATAGTGGGTTCCAGGCCACCCAAGACTACACTCTGTCTCAAAATAACCACAACACAGACTGTAGAGGCTGTTGTGGTGGTGCATGCCTTTGATCCCAGCAGAGGAAAGTGAATATCTGGAATATCTGAGTTCGAGGCCGGCCTAGTACCAGGCTAGCATGGGATAAGACCCTATGTCCAAAAAAAAAAAAAAAAAAAAAAACAAAAAATAATTAGGGTCTGGAGTGTGGCTCACGGTTAAAAACAACTGCTGTTCATGCAGAAGACCAGGGTTCAATACCCATTGCCCATATGATGGCTCCTTAATCATCCATAACTACACAGATCCAAAGATCTCTTCTGACTTTTGAGGATGTCTGTACACATGTGGTGTACACACATTCAGGCACACACAAATAATAGAAGTAAATAGCTATTAAAAAAAATAAGCACACACACACACACACACACACACAGCTGGGCGTGGTGGCACACACCTTTAATCCCATCACTCCGGAGACAGGCAAGCCTCAGAAAACCTGTGTCTGAGTTCCAGGACAGCCACAGAAAACACAGGAGAAACCCTGCCCCAAGCAAAACGAAAACCTACAACAAATATTTACTGGTTCAATCACTTGACTGCAATGCTTTTGTCAACAAAACATTACTGATGTTTTATGTTTCTTTTACATTTTTTTGTTTGAGATTGAGTTTATGTATCTCTGGTTGTCCTGGAATTCTCTATGTAAATCAGGGTGGCCTGAACTCAGGGAGATCCACCTGAGTATTGGGACTAGAGACTTGTGCCACCACACAGCCGTGTATTTTTAATTTTTGAATGAAATTCTTTATATTCACTCAATGTAATGAAAACTGAAGATTCATGTTTATACATGTATACGAATTATATATGAGAATACCTTTTCTTTCAAGACATGGTTTCTCTGTGTATCTTTGGCTGCCCTGGAACTCATTCTGTAGACCAGGCTGGCCTCAAATTCAGAGAGACCCACCTGCCTCTGCCTCCTGAGCGCTGGGATTAAAAGCGTGCACCTCCACGCCCCGCGAAAATATCTTTTCTACGTTAATCAACCTCCTATTTCAACATCACTTCTTCCTAAACTCACCAAAGGTGTGACGTATGTGTGTGTATGAACAATACTGCTTACATCCGAAATTCCTAAGTCTAAAAAAAAAAACAAAAACAAAAAAAACAGGTGCAACGTTTAGATGCATGCCTTTTTCTTCTAAGCTCAAGTTATACCCTGGAAAGAACCTAAAACTAAATGCAACTATCCTACAACTCAAATAATCCTTTCAAACAGAGGTACTTAATTTTAAAAAATTCAAGACAGGAACCCGAAACTACCATCTTTCAAAACTTGGGGTAACTCAAGTCGATCACATTAAGTGGACATTTAGCTTCGTTTTAGCTTGGACCAAACAAAAAGTACGTTTTACTTCAAAGTAAAGAACAATTCTTTGCGCAGACATTTCATAAATCCAGTACAGATAGTCCAGTTGGGCTTTGTATGAGTAAAAACAAGGACGTGGAAGGAAAAGTCAAGAGAAGCCGATTCAAAGGAGGGAAATTCAGTTAAAAGTGTTGATGAATCATGAAGCGCTAAAGAAGATCCAAGTGAGAACAGCGGCATCCCGGGTATTTAAAAGTTGAGGGTGGCAAGGCAAACTTCAGCGGCGGGCCGCAAGCCATTGTGCGAGGTGGCAGCCCGGAGCGGCGTGGCTGTCAAGGGGCAACTGCGTCCCGAGGCGCGGGGGAGGGGGCAGGACGCCACATAGGAAGGGGGTGCCGGGGCCAGGAGGCGAGACGCTCAGCCCAGGTCCTCTGTGCCTGGGCTCAACCTCAAGAGGACCAACAAGCGCCAACTCGGGGCCCAGCGGACCCACGCCAGGCTGTCGCTCAGAGGCGCTGGGCCCAAGCCCGGAGGCCCGGCAGGCGCCGCCGGAGGAGCCCCGCAGACGCCATGCTAAAAGCCAAAATGGCTGCCCCAAGGATGCCCGCAGCGCGCCGCCTGTGAGCAGGGAGCCGGCCGCTGCGGGAACGGGGGAGGGGGCGCCGGGAAGGCAGTCGCCGCTCGCCAGCCGGAGCCTCTCGGGTAGGTTCCCCTCCGCCCCTCAGGGCGCAGGCCCCAATCCGG